TCCTGCACCAACTTCGCCTCCACTTGAGGCATTTTGACCTTTTCCACACCACTGTTTGCGGTGCTCCGACTTTGTCTCCTTGTGGGACACCCTCCACCATACCCCCTGCTGATTCCGGACTTGGTGCCACACATGCTGACTGGATACCAAAGCAAGGTACCGTGCCCTTGTCCTTTATGGACACCAAGACCCTGCCTGTCAGGGCACGGCCTAACCGGCTACCCTGACTCCCTATGCCGGAAGGGAGTTGCCGTAAGACGATCCGGAGTGATCCGAAGAACGCAGGTAATCTCGCTTAGCTCTCGCTTAGCTCCTGCTTCCTATCTTCCGTCCACATGTCACCCCTTTCCCACACCTCGCTTACGATTATCCGAATGAATAGCTATCTTTTCATGTCGTCATTCTATCGGTTATCTTCTATCTCGTTGTAGCCGCACTCTAGTGGGTAGCGGTACCCATGTATATAACTCCTATCTCCGCTGAGGGTGGCACCTCAGCGTTAACAACGACTAGGATTCTCGGGAACGCCCTCTTCGTCGTGAACTGACACGCAGTCCCTGACACTGCCGAGATGTCGGCAGCATTCATCTCACACCTTCTCCTCTCCTGACTCTGGTGCTGTGCTGCAGCTGGCATTCCCAACACTGCCACTCTTAGGCCTTCAAGGGTTCAGGCCCTAAGAGGGGGATACTGTCACAGCCATGCATTCCGGCCCATTCCCTGCCCGTCCTGATGCTGCCCGAGCCTGTTACCGCTATGCGAGCGTGAGCGCGAGCCCCAACCTCAGCCCTATCCTCCCTGAGGACTCCCTGCTCACTCCCCCGCTTGCCCCTAGGCTCCCCCACACCTGGCCGACTCCCCCACAGCCACACCAACCTTCCTGCCCTGAGTCCGCCTCCGGCACCGTGCCCAGCGCGACTCCTCTACCCCACCCACTTGGCCCCTACAGGGCCACTATTATTCCTGCACCTGACTCTGGCCCAACTCTGAGTCCAGTGCCACTATGATACCATCGCCACTATTGCGGCCCTACGCTCCTTCCTTTATTTATCTGTTATTGTTTGTTTTGACCCTCAGTCATTGCCGGCCACTGTACAGCCAACCCCACTCCTTATTCATGTTTGCTTCCAGACCCTTCAGCCTTCGGCCTGGGTCCGCTTCCATTCATTCCTTCCTCCTATATATATCCTGTATACTACATTATCATACTTTAGCTCTAATATCAATGTGACCACGACCCCTAAGTCCTGACCCCAGCAAGGCAACCCCAGTAAGTCTGAAATGAGGGCCAAGAGACAGCTAGGGGGCACAGCGCTCCTTTAGAGTCGCTGAGGCCAAATGCCCTACCCTCGGGCCTTGTTCACAGCATCATGGCCATCGTGGCCTATAGCGGCCTGCAATGGCGACCTTCGGTGCTGACCCCGGACTAGTGTCTAACAAACTCCCAGAATGTCCATATTTTAGCATTAAGGTTCCCAAGACCATGTGTACAAATTCCAACAGAAGGAAGGCCCATCAGGAAACCCCCAAGGCTGATTGAGGTGATTGAGATCATTTCAATGTCACACAATTTACAATCACCACAACCAGGTCCCCTGATTACAATTACACCAATCACATGGGTGATTGAGCTGATTGTACTGATTGTACTAATTGTCACATTTCACTTCTACATGTTGAAGTTCATCGATAAAATTATTATATTTGAAAATTATGTTATGTACATACAGGCATGCAAGTAACTAATACCAAAACACAATGGTGCAAAACAATAGGAGGAAAGCGAAATGGGTGAAAATACAATGTAATTAAACAAAGCAAACGCACCCCTCAACCACTGGACCGTTTGGCACCAAACTCGATGGGAAGATGGAGCTGGATCTCCTCTATCAAACAAGTCTAGGTCCATCAGAAACAGGCATGTGGTTGTTGAGTATGCGCAGTAAGAAGTTGGGGTTAGTGAAATACAATATAATTAAAGAAAGCAGACGCCCACCTCAACCACTGGATCATTTGGCACCAAACTCGGTGGGAGGATGGAGCCAAACCTCTATATCAAACGAGCGTAAGTTCATCCGAAACGGAGGTGTGGTTGTTGAGTACGAGCTGTAAGAAATTGAGGTTAGTGAAATACAATATATTTAAAGGAAGCAGATGCGCACCTCAATCGCTGGACCGTTTGGTACCAATCTCTGTAGAAAGATAGAGCTGGATCTCATCTATCGGATGAGCTTAGAATCGTCAGAAATGGATGCGTGGTTGTTGAGTACATGCAGTAAGAAGTTGGGGATAGTGTCGTGTGTGAGAAGTTAAGTTGGGGTTGGTGTCAGAAACTGTGTTCGAGGTGATCGCGGGAAGCGGAGCAGAGTATGGCAGCGTGAGTGGTCACTTAGCTAATGAACTACTCCGTTGCAAGGCATCATGGGGATGGGACTTCGGCTTCAACGACTTGGCCAGAGCGTTGCGCCACACGTTCTAGGCTGTCCCGTATTTCACGTTAGCAGGAAAGACCTTGCAGCGACGTTGACTTAAGTGGGGATGAAGTTGAGAGGCGAACTTAGGATGAGAGTACTTGGGGGGGAATTCTAGTCGATATTCGAACTAAGGTACATCGACAGTAAACTACAAGTATAAATACGAAAGGAGAACAGAGAAGGGACCAGCCGGTCCAGCGTGGGACGGTGTAACGGGGATTTGCCAGTGTACCCTAAACGAGCCAAATCCCGCGATTCTACCACCCTCAGCAAGCACCTCACATCCATCACATGTAGCCTATATCCCCTCACACTCTTTACACACATTTCCTATTTTCCTAATTTTTCTGATTCCATTTCCGATGTCTAGAGGCCGATGTTTCCACTTTCTTATTGTCATGTGATATTCTTTCCTATTTTGTTTATCAGACTCTTCCGTGACCCGCTGTATAGTTTGTTGGAGAGTATCAGCACCAGACTCGACTGGACCAATATACCCCACTTCAGACCTGACTTGTAGTGAGATCCTTATCCCCCCCCTCTTTCCTGTCGCGAGTCTAGTTGGATAGACCCATTACAATGGGAGCAGGATGATAAGTATGACAGAACTAAAAGAGCGATGAGGACCAGGGAAATGGAACAGAAGAAATGAATGGAACAGAGGACGGCGAAGTTGGGAGGCAGAATGAATAGGCTGACAATCTAGGCGTGCAGATCAGAATGTCAATATACGCATAAATCAAATGTCAATAAAGGAATAACCAATTGTCAATAAAGGAATGTCAATAAGGAGCAGATCAACGGCGACCATAACAACCGCTAGTTAGTTAAGCGAATGAATAGAATAAACAGTATCGGCCGAATGGCTGAGGAACTCAAGTGGTGGCGGGAGAACGAAGGAGGCACTGCTACGGGGCCGTAGAACGGGAACCACTATCAGCGCCGCTAAGTGATGGGCAATGGCGAGATTAACAGGCACGAGTAACGGGCATGAGAATGGGGTGCAGAAAGTGGTAGAGGGGCAGTGTCATGACCCGGCGTTCCCCAGGGCCAGACGACCTCCTCCCTGACCTTCTCCCACGCCTGAACACTCCCCGCACACTCTGCTCGCCGCCCGTCGCTGTCTAACCACTTCCCGCCACCTCTCCACAACACCTTTCCTCTTTGTCGTTGAACGACCTAGCGGTGCAGAGCGCTGCAACCCGTTGTTCCATGTTTCGCCGCACTTTGTTATCTCGCAGCGAAGGTCACGCTTGACCTTCGCTGTCTTGAACACGTGCCCTTTGTTTGTTTTCCTGCTTCTTTTCTCCGCCTGCAATCTCCGTGAGATCTGGCGACTTATTCCCTATTCAGTTCCCTAGCGCTTATATACGGCTTGTAACTAATGCTTGTACTGTAGTTCGAAATCAACTAGAATTACCCCCTAAAGCTTACCTCTGTCCCCGTGAGACCTCCGACCTTCTAAGTATCGGGACTGCGTCGAGAACGAGGCGCAACGCTCCTCCTAGAGTCGTTGAAGCCGAAATCCCGGCTCACTCGCCTAAGTAGCCTCGGCCTCGAGATCGGTGGGGTTTATCCCTCGCTAAAGCTCGGTCGGGTGTAGGACGCCTTTACCACTAGCGGGCAACGCTCGGTCGCCTACGGCTACCCTCGGCGAACCTTCGCACGGTTTTGACAGGCAGGGACTTTGCGGGGCCGTGACAGTTGGATGGAATGACTTGAAAAAAAAGAATATGGGAAGGGTTGGGTGACTGTGGAAGGGTGTTGGCCCATGAGCACAAGTAAGGAACATCGGAGTGGAGTAAAAAATATCGTGTTGCATAGTAAAGAGACATGGGTGTAGATAGCGTGAGGTAAAAAAAAAGTTACAAGTTGCAAACCAATTCATTTGAAAACTGTACAACACCTGGAGCAAACAAATGGACTCGCGATTGTGATGATTGAGACGATTGAGAGTAGTCGATTGGGCAGATTGGGCAGATTGGGCAGATTGGGCAGATTGAGCACTTGAATTGCTCTCAATCACCTCAATCGGCCTCGGGGGTTTCCTGATGCCAAAGGATCTCAAAGCGAGGCTTTCCTGCACTTTCCTCTGGGAAGAAAGGGAAGCTGACTACCAAATGGCCGGCTGCATTGCTAAAAAAACCAGAGCGAAGCAGCCCTTTGTTGAGCAAATGAAGTTTCCTTGAACTCTGAGAGTGAGCTAACGGTAAAACCATTCAAGCTTGCCGAGTATGATGCCCCCATTGGTGCCTCCTGGACGATCTATCATGGCAACTCCACACACAAGAATGGATGGACATTTCGTCTCCTGGTCCCCACTTCGCTCGTGACAGTGCTTCGTCACTGTAGGCCACCTCCCGAAGGATGTTATAATGGCTTGGGCTCGAGAACTGATACTAAACATCATTGCTGGTGCTGGTGCATGTGAAGCAGCCATGCCTGAAGCAGCCTCCCTGCATGCTTCAAACAAAGCCCACCGCAAAGCCTTGAGGCACAAAGCAAGCTTGTGTTGTGGAATCAGGAATGACAAGATCAGCGTCACTCCACCTGACTATCTGGATCGGCGTGGTGCCCGCATCTCTCTCTGGCAATGACGGCGTCGTCGTCGTCTCCAAGTGCCGGGAGCTTCTTGAAGAATACAACATCGCCGACGTCGACGTCGAGATCCGCGAGTCAGTCGTTACTCGCTGGGGGAGCTGGGATTCACTGAAGCATGTGCGTTCCGGGTCCGACCTCTGCACCAAGTTCTGATCCTGATTCATAGCAGAAATAGTAGCAACGCCCAGGGGCACTGAAAGGTTCGGTGACGAGGACGAGTTTGCTTGCCAGGGTGTTTCTCGAGGCTGGATTGAGACAGAGCATAGCATGTTGGGGGATTGGAAATCAAGCCATCGGAGCGGTCTCGAAGCATATCTTGTTTCCCTTTGGCTGGTGGCGTCCACTTCTTTTGTCCCTTTTCGTCTAATCAGCTTGCGAAAAATGGTGGATGCTTTGTACTTTGTCTTCTGCAATGTCTGAATATTTTCGCTGGCAACGATGGAAATTTAAGACAATCTCGTTCCTGCCGCCGCCAGTCACTTCTTCGGCACGCGTTTCCATAATGCCTTCATAGTATTGCCCAAACTCATGCGTCCCTAACTTTCATAGGGATGTGAGGGAATATAGGATTTTTACTGCCTTGAAGCAGATGGCGGCCGGATAGAAAGCTCTGTGTCGCGGATAAGGGGCAGACGTACTATGTACAACTACAGGGGAGGATTCAGCACTTGCGAAATGGGAGTGGCGTGGCACTCCAGATCAATACGGCAAGTGTGAGTAAAATGAGTATTCCTGGCGGAGAGTGAGGCGTTTTACATGTTTTGCATTACAGAGCCATCAAGTACAACGACAATGCATTGATGAATGGCTGCAGGCGCGTCATGCTCTCAGAGCAATACATATGATATATGTCAATGGTGGCTAGGTGTCAGTATAATCTTTTTAAAGCCACTGAATATGCTCTAGCTCTCAGGCGACTTGGTGATCCATACATGGTGGTAATGGTGACGAAGTGATGTACGTCACCGCCAAGGTTAATTCTTAAGATGCCAAGTTTGCTGCCAAAGCTGTTTCTCAATGCCAGAGTCAGAGTCAGAGAGTGGATAGTTTGGAACAAAAGCACACTTGAGTTGGTTTTCTTGCCGTTCCGTTGCGATAAGGATTTTGCCCGCGTAGTTTACATTGCTACAAGTCATGATATTGATTGCGACGGCGGCCGCGGTCGAGGCCGCGAAAATTCATGGTTTGAGCCCTATACATGGAACACTCAAATCCAATTGGTCACATCGTGGGCATTTCAAACCCCGATAGATCCACAAAAATAATCTCACCTCCACGTCCACCGATACAAACCTTATCTTTATCACAATGGACTGCCGTGCTTGCTTCAAAAAAGTCAGGTAGCCAGCAAATATGAAGTGTTGCGTCCTGATGCTTCACACAGAGGCTGCGGTCCTGCAACGTATACTTGACGCCCAGTGCAGCGGTGTTAGAAGACCAGTGCTGCTGGACTTCTGACGCCGTCATCTTTGTCAACGCCAAGGGCCGCACATATTGCACTTCGAGGTTGGAATGAACGGCCAAACAAGCCCCATCATTTGAGAACGAGACCGATGCAAGGTTGGGAAACCACTGCCTTCCCAGGCAAGCGCCCGTCCTGACATCCCATAATCGTACCGTCTCGTCAGAGGAGGCCGAGACCAAATGGCGCCCATCTGGGGAGAATGATACGGATCGCGCCAAGCATATATGCCCATTGAGCACATTGGAAGTTGTTCCTGACGCAATATCCCATATCCGCATCGTTCCGTCGAAGGAGCCGGAAGCCAAATGGCATCCATCTGGGGAGAATGCCACCGAATGCACCCAATCAGCGTGCCCAGTGAGAACGGCAGAAACTGTCCCTGATGCAACATCCCATATCCGCACTGTCCCATCACCAGAGGCCGAGGCCAAGCGGTGCCCTTCTGGGGAGACTGTTACAGAATGTACCACATCGGAATGTCCGCTGACCAATTGAACATCCGCAACTGATGCAACATCCCATATCCGCACTGTCCTGTCATCTGAGGCCGAGGCCAGGTGGCGACTGTCGGAGGCGAACGCCACAGAACGCACCCAGTTGGCATGCCCACTGAGGACAGCACAAGCCATCCCTGACGCTACATCCCATATTCGCACTGTCTTGTCAGAGGAGCTTGAGGCCAATCGACGTCCATCTGGGGAGAAGGCCACGGAATGCACCAGGCCCGTGTGCCCAGTGAGAACCGCAGAAGTTGACCCTGATGCAACATCCCACATCCGCACCGTATTATCAGACGAGCCCGTGGCTAGGTGACCTCCATCCGGAGAAAAGGCTACAAAGTGCACCCAGTCCGCATGCCCAGCGAGGACGGCAGAAACTGTCCCCATTGAAACATCCCATATGCGGACTGTCCTGTCCTCAGAGGCAGAGGCTAAGCGATGCCCATCCTGCGAAAATGTTACAGACTTTACACCTTCGGTATGTCCATCGAGCAGCATAGCTGTCCCTGAGGCGACGTCCCATATCCGCACCATCACATCAGAGCCCGACGCCAAGCGACACCCATTTGGAGAAAATGCTACACAACACAACCAGTTGGTATGTCCATGCAACGTAGCAGAAACTGTCCTCGACGCAACATCCCATATTCGCACCGTCTTGTCATTGGAGGCCGAGGCCAAGTAACACCCATCCGTTGAAAATGCAACGGAATGCACTGCATCGGAGTGCCCACGGAGCACAGCAGAAGCTGTACCCGATGCTACATCCCATATCTGCACTGTCTTGTCATCGGAAGCCGAGGCCAAGTGACGCCCATCAAGGGAGAATGCTACACAATACATGGGGCTGGTATGTCTCAATACTGAGACTAGTGGAGACCATGCGTCCGACTTGGCGGGCATTCCGGTGATTATTGCGTGACGGCGTTGGTCGAATAACAGGGGAAATGTCGACTGCAATACAGAGCTTGTCGGCAGAAAAGGATGGGAATCAGCCAGAACAGATAGTGAGCATGCACTGATCGCGGCACGCGACTGGGATATCATCCTGTACAACGAGTGAAAAATTGCTTGGAGTGGCGAGTCACCCTTCACGAAAATGCATGAGCGAACGCCGTATAAAGAAAACTAGATGCCTACTGCCCATCCTCCTAAATCATGTAAGCCTCTCAGAACTTCATCGACTTTGCCCATGATCCCCATGGCGGCAACCCAGTGGAGCAACTCAGGAACAGCTTCCCCCAGGGCAACGAGCACTCCCTTGTCACCACGCTTGGATTGACATACTGTGCTATGCCAATCGCAGCACATAGACTGAAGCGAAGATGGCACTAATTTCTCGAACTCGGCACGAAGATCAGGAATGTCGTCATTTGGCATATATCGCCAGATGCGTGGTAAATTGTCTAACATACGCAGATGCGGAAGGTTCTTCAAGTACAGCAATGGGCTTAAACGAGTCATGTCAGATCCAGACCCAAACCGACGATGACCTATAACCACACACCGAAGCTTCGCTGTAATGTCGCTCATAATGGGCCGATCACCGGGTGAGCGTGAAAAGCAGCCGAGAATACATTCAGAAATAGCATCTGGATTATCCAGCTTATATGGAAGTGCCGAGGGAGCAACCGCTGGAATTTGGAATTCGTACCGTACCCAGTCGTACGGGGGCTTGTCGCACACTATCTGCTCCAGCACATGAGTGCGAGGACCTAATCCGTCCGAGAACGTGAGGACTCACCTCCATGGACGCACATCCGAATGCCCAGACATCGCTCATTTTATTGCGTCCCTCCGAAGTACCATCCAATAGCTCCGGACATACAAAGCGAATTGTTCCATGGGCGCTCGTCGATTGCGCATATGTAGTAATGTCACCAAGGATGGACGACAGTCCGAAATCGCACAACTTGGCAGTCTCGTCCACACATGTCACAACAATATTACTCTGTGATAAATCATATGATTAAGCATGATCGAATTAAATAAAAAAGAAATGGGTGAGTACCGATTTAACATCACCGTGAATGATCCCTTTCGAGTGGAGATAGGCCAGTCCCGTTGCAACATCAAGAACCTCATCAAAAGATCAGATCTCCCGCATCCATTCAGGGACAGCTTCAATCCTACCAATCTATTCCGATCCGCATTTGGGTGCTCGTGAAGGTACGCTTTCACGTCTCCTCCGTCACACCACGCTGAAATCAAGCTCGCACGAATGACATCGTCATCTTCCTCCAACATCCACCCATGAAACACGACGATGTTCGGGTGACTTAAATTGCACCACACCTTCATTTCACGCTTGATTCGCTGCCCAAACAGGACACTGAGCCGATCCAACTTCCAATAGAACGGGACAAGACATACTCGAAGGCCCTTTCTAAACACTGGTTGCTCGAAGCTCCGAACGATCTTCAAGACTTTAACGCAGACATATTTATTGGGGGATGACTGCATAAATCGTGATCACGGCTGAGCATACACTGCAGAGCGGTTGCTAAGGTACTCACGCTTTCACGGTAAGTGCCCTCGTACACATCACCAAATGCACCAGATCCCTTTGGCCGGTTGCGATCAAAGGTGACCTTTCCTGAAAGATTTCGTGCATCCACGTCAGAGAGCTCGTCCGAGAGTCGTTGGTAGGGTGTTCTGGACGACATCCGCAAAGTCGAAAAAGCCCAGAAAGTTTAAAGAAGAGAGCCTTGAGGCCAAGAACGCAATGAAAGCCCTAGGCTGAAGCAGCCTCTATAGATAGATGAAAGCCCCTTATGGTAACGCCATGTGTTTCTGGATATTCCGCCGGCAAACTCCTGAGAGTCCCGGAATGAAAATGGGCAAGAAATAAAATAGTCTGGTGGTGCCCGTCGTCCTTCGTCCTTCGTCCAAGGAGCACGCAGATCCCGGATCCCGCTCCATGGGTGGGTCGCCACTGAGTCCTGACAGATGTTCGGAAATTGAAATTGTGTGGCCGGTGAGTAAGTAACTCGTGGGATTCTATTATGTAAGCACGATGGTGTTTACGCTTGCGACCGTGCGCAAGTTCCCAAGCGCGATTGGTCAATGGAAATGTCGATACATCTCGCTAAATGGATGACGACTAACGGCGCCAAAATATGTCTGCTCCTGGGAACTTGGGTGATTGCGAGTTGATGACAATGACGGCTCGAGCACACAATTATAATTCAATTAACATGGCAGGAATTATGCATGATTCGACCCAGGCCGGACGGCGGTTCCGGTATGAGCCATCAGAATCGCGACATGTACATATTTCGAAATGAAGGTGTACTCCTTGCCAGACAGGATCCTGTGTAATGCTCCAATTGCAGGCGGAGCTCTGGAGGGATGCACGAATTGAAATCATACATGTGCCTTAATTAACATTGAGCAACTGCTTACTTTTGGTGGTAAATTAATGAGTGGTACTGCGAGGACAGTGATGACGGCAGCATGCATAGTAGTCACTGAGACGATGTGTCAATCTAATTTGACTTGATTCACCGAATCATTTGTTCGTTAGGCCGGGTCATATTTGTGGGGGGCATGGTTGTAGCTAATGATGCTATTCACAAAATCTAATGTTGGGAACCAAAACGGAAAAAGAAAAACTACATTAATGTATAATAAGCGCCTAAGCCCACGGAGCGAGTTCCAAACCGGCATCCCTAATTGCAGGGCTAGCAGCAATTCGTACCACCCCGACCGGACTCGGAGACTTCAGCAGATCAGTAGGAATATCAAGAGTCCAGTCTCTACGAAGTATGCTGTAGATTTGGTTGAAAGTCGTGAGCGAAGAAGGCGTGGCAAAGCCGTCGTCGCCACCACTGGCACTGCCGAGGCCGGCGCTGTTGCTCTCGGAATGGACGAGATGGAGGAGGGTGAGTTTAAGCCGAGTTCGATAGCCCGCAGTGAGATGGAGGTGCTGTGTGACAGGATGAAATGCATTATGAATGATGCTGGCTCAATGGCGGTTGTACTACTGACTGTGAAAGCTAGTGCTAGTGCGTTTGACGGTACATCTGAGAGTCGGGATATCCTTAAGCGCCTTTGATGATTTTGTTCGTTCGACCATGACCGACATTTGCGTCAGCAATCGTTCACATTCGATCAGAGTCGTCAAAGCATCTTGGACAGAAAGAAGGGAATAGCCTGCATTTTTGTTGGTAGTGCGAGTCAGAAGGCTCAGCCAACGCTTTGAGCGAGAGCGTCTTCGAGGGCAATCGTTACGCCCGGGAGTGATGTTGACGTCGGTGTCCGATACAAAGTGCCAATCTACGACTCTGAAGTCTAGTGAGGGCTAGGATGACATAATAGATCTTACCTTGAATCATCTGGAGCAAATCGGCCGAGAGAGGGGTTTTGGATACACTCATCTTTCAGAGAGGGAAATTTACCCTTACGATTTTGTGAACTAGAAGCTCTTAAGTGACCATTCTCGAAAACAGAACCAGGTTGAGATGGCAAACTGTTCTCCTTCTCTGTTCCGTTAATGTCCCAGGGGAGATTCGAAAAATGGATCTCTGCAACCTACGAGTGCCAGCGGAGTCGAGCCCTACTAAGCGAGAAGAGGAATGCTCCGCATCGTACGTACGGAAAGCGCCGTTAGCTGCATCATTGACGATCCCAAGACCAATGGGATGTGTGCGGGACGGAACTTCGGGTGAAGCGAATGACTGGACAGGATTTACAGCATCGTCAATCCGCCGGTCCGCCCCATCAGATGAGGTTTTTTCGGATTCAGAACCAGTAAAACCACGCAGAGGTGATACCATGCGGGTCCATTACCACTGCCACTGCCTTCCGATGATCCATCGTAGGCCTTAAGAACAAATTGGCTGAGAGGAGAGTGATGGCTTCTACGAACTATGCTGTCCATCGCTTCGCACGAGTCCGCTGGACGAGGAGACATGAACATGCCGTCATAGCCACGAGAAGGCGAAGAGACGCTGAAGGATCCTTGAAATGAGATGTCGTCGTCGGCATAGTTAGGAGAGACAGAGTTGAGATTGGAAGAGAACGAAGAACTCTGCTCCAGGTCCGGAGCGATAACTGAGATCGAGGGTGTGCTTCTCTCCTTCCCAGATGAGACATCAAGTTGACGAATCGAGCGCATGGCATGCCTCAACAAGCCATGACTGAAAGACTGAAGGAGTCGAGTTGGCGCAAAAGACACTCGCTTCTGCATGCCAGAGTCACTAGAAGTCTGAGAAATACCATCGCGGTCAGGTAGAATTCTGATGTGATTAGGCGGAAAGACCATTCCAATTCGCTTGAATTTGGTCTGGAGGGAATTATACTCCTGAAGTGACCAATGGCGATACTCAAGGAGGCGCAAGTAAACCATTCTTTCCTTATGGTTGCTGGAAATTATCAATGGTGATTAGTGATATATATGAATATAGCAACCTTAGCTTACCCATCTTCTTGAACAGCAGCCTTTATGGAAGACAGGGAAGCTTGCGGCCAAAGAGACCTCAAATTTTCGCAGATATACGGATCAACAGTCCTGATCTCCGAACCCAACTTTTCCTTCAACTTCGAATGGCTAATCACAGACGGCGAGGGACCTCGTTGGGGAGCAGGAATGAGAGCCAATGCAGAATGTTCCAAAATCCCCCTCAGCTGAGTGACCTAAGTTTGAGAAAAATGGAAAGCCGAGGACTGATTTGGCTCACCGTAATGCGGCTGTCCGCGTCCTCGATCACATGCAGCGAAGGAGGTCCGCTGCTACAGGTGGTATCCCAGGAGGCACGACAACTCTACGTTTGGTGGGATCCAAGACAATATCCCCGTAAGGAAGACTACCAGTTAGAAGAACACTGAACATGACACCACAAGAGTACACATCCGCCGCTCGAGCATCAGATGGAATCCAGACAGAACCTCAGGAGACACATAATTAAGATCGAGAGAAGCATCAAGAAGACAAGCAACTTTCGATGAATCGTCGTCCACCCATGATGCGTAGCCAAAACCCATTAATCTCAGATTATCTTTCCTATCGACAACCACAGAACTCGGATTGATGTTGCCGTGTGCAATCCGTAGACCGTGGCAGTAATTGAGAGTCGAAGTTAGTTGATGAAGGTAGCGCACCGCTTTCAAAAAGCCCATTGCGCGCGGCAAAGAGCTGATGAGAGGGGAAGAGTTAAAATATTCGAGGAACGCAAAGCTAAAATTATCAGTGTTATCAAATAACTCTCCACTTCAGAGATTGGGCGTACAGCTCGTCCCTAGACTCCCAAACATCCAACAGACGTACGACATGCCTGTGCTGCACTAACTTGAGGAGGACAATTTCTCGATCAATTAGCAAGAGGTCGTCGCATTGCGAGTGTCGAGAGAAACGCAGAGAGGGCGATGGAGAGGGTGAAGGTGCATTAAGAGGTTTGGTGGCGATCATCGTGGCTGCCAATTGCCCAGTGAGGACGTTCTGAGCCAGGCGAACGTGTTCTTCGAAGTGCAAGGTAAGTGGATGTGATTAGATAACCAGCCAAGAGATACAAGCTTACTCCAGTCCCCGAAAGAAATCCTCCTTCCAACTCGCCATGGACCAATGATGTGTGGATTGAGAAATGGGCGCGAAGGCCGTTCATTGTTTGTGCGAGGAGCATCCTCCATGTCCGGAATTAGCACGCACAAGATAATAAGACTCGGAAAAGATGGACGACAATGTAGCTATGTACTATTTGTGTGTTTGGCTGTTCAAGATAGCGCTGATGTGCAATCAGTGTGCCGATGTTGAAAACGAGTCTGACAGACGAACGGAGATTCGACTTCTCGACCCAAACATACTACAGAATTTCAACATCTCACGATTGAGACCAACCTATAATAGTTCATGCAAGGCTAGTGTAACGCATTTTCCCTGGCACAGTACTACCACTCTTTCTTGTGACTCACTCAGTTTCTAGCTCCCACTCGGCCGGGCATTTAGATCCCTCAACAAACCCGGGCCCAGCAGCTACGAGGTTCCAGCAAAAAAGTTGCCAGATGTGACCCTTATTGGGTAATATAATACCGCCGATGCCTGTGATTCGGGCCGGACTTGTGAGAATCACAAACCCAACCCTTCGTGTTTCTCGGCGAGGTGCTTGAGGCCTGCTTACGTTGCCGGTTTAAAACCTTATATTAGTCTCGGTCCTTCTAATGCTCAATAACCACCCCCATCCGGTGCCATCATCTCCGCCTACAGAAGTTATTGACCCATGGAGCTAGGTGCATACTTGGGCACAGGCATCCGCCACGATATATATGGCTTAATCTGCAAGCTCAACCTTGATTCAAATCGTCAACTGAGTCACGGGAAATGTGCTCCCCTGCCTAAAGAAAACTTGGCTACGAAATCGATACTCGATGGAAACAAACGCTAATCCTCCAACCGTTAGAGAAGGTTGGGAACACCAAAATTAATTTAATGGGAAAAACCACGGTGAAAGCACCCCATTGTCAATCGGACAACGATGATCCAGTATTTATACTACTCCACAATTGTCAGACACCAAGTTATGTAACGAATAACCCTCACCTTCCGCGGGACTGGAGCGCTCTCAAGTGTTATTGATCTGTGACGCTTGATGATATGTATTGGGAGCCCCACCGATACCTCGTCCATTCTGCATAATTCGGTAATTTGCCAATATTGGTAATGTGCTGACGCAGCACTGGATGTGGAAGGTTCCGCGAGTGTTCCTTATCTGGCCAATTCCCACACTAAGGCTGACAGGTCGCCCCGCGCCATCGGCGCGTGATCCCCTATCCTCGATCATAGACTTCATATCTACTTGAGCTTGGTTGTTGAACCATGGGTGAGTTGCCTGCTTTATTACGGCTTTGACATTGAGGGTTCTCACCTGTCCTGATCATTGGGATTTTACTCTTTTGCTCCCACCCCAGCCACCGTCAAGAGTTCTGCATCAGAAGCGCCTGTCTCTAATATGGTCAGGGCAAATATCCGCCTAAGCTCCTGGAATCTCCGATACGACTCGAAGCCAGATAACATCACAGTGTCTCACACGATCGCAAATTTGAAGAGTCCACTTGTCCAACCCAATCCATATAACTGCAATCCCGTTGAGTTGCCATGGAGCACCAGACGCACTTATGTTTCTAGCACTTTGTTGCATGAGCGAGTCCAACTGATAGGTATGCCAATTGAGATTGCAACCGAATGCGCATTACATATATTATGCTTATCTGCCTCGTACCGTAAGGATTCCAGGAAGCTCTGATTCGCCAGGTAAACGACCTCCAAGTGCTTCTAAGCAATGAATGGGGTGGGTCGGGGTAGGACGAGACGATGGCAAACAAGCGGGTGAATATAGCCCAATCTTCTTCAGAAAGTTCGCAAATTAGGCCATCCATCTGCCATTGGATTTAACCCATCACTTTAGATCAGTCTTTAATCTCATCGACTCTGATACATTCTGGCTTACGTACGTTCCGTCCCTCATGCGATCAGCCGAGTTAGAATATCCTAACCTCCTCCTTCCCAAGAGACACCCCCTTTAAGCCGTCCAAGTACCGCGGTGCCGGTTCATACCGCGTATGCACCGTAGCTCACCTAGAAATCCTCGCTACTGGGCAGCGCTTCACACTGCTAAACACACACCTTGACGACCAGAGCGATGCGCAGCGTAGGTTGGGAGCATCCCTCATCTTGCACCGGGCTCATTATGAGGCTGTCAAAACCAAGAGGCCGGTTTTGGTTACCGGAGATTTCAATAGGTGAGGATAAGTGCTCCATTTGCGATTTTCATTTTCAACAGATTCTCCCTCAAGTTCCCCAAACGGGAGCGATTCTGGGGCATACCAAATCACTACTGGTGGCATAAATCCCGCAGCAATTCCATCCTCATTCACACAGAAGTACCCTATTCTGAGCGACCATGGTCCTAAATTTACCGAGCAAGACCTCAAGGCCCATGTCCCTCGCCAGCATATCTCAGGGGATTTTGCTACATTCACAGGTAGGACTCTTTTCCATTTAATTTCCTCCATTTATTCAGTTTTGCCTAGGCTTCACTCAGCCAAATAACACCTGGGCTTACAACCGGATCGATTTTATATTTGGAAGCTCGCGGGGCGGGTGGTGTGTCCGATACTTTTTGGCTCGTTTCTCCCTATATCAATGAGACTTATTTCGTCAGGGATGCCACTTCTTATAGGGTCGGGAGCTCCTTTACCGATGATGGGGTGTGGGCAAGCGACCATCGTCCGGTATATGTGGACGTCACTTTGACTTAAGGCGTCCCATCTCCACCTTCATCCTTAAATTGGATTGCAGCGAACTTGTTCGCCCATGTAGCGTCACGGTAGTGTCAAAATCGACCCCAGTTTCCTTAGATGTTGAGTAAGGCCCTATGACTGGGTTAGTTCTGTGCGCTTTGTCGCAACCACCCTATCGAGACTCAGCCGGCATGCAGGACCAATTTTCGTCCCAGCATTCCTGATGAGTAGCCATCTGTTTGTATTTCCGTTTCACAAAGACTACGTAGCGGAAACATCTCGATCTCTCGGTAAGCACACTTCGAATATTGGGATCTGTCGAGGCGATCTTCCTCACAATTTTTACTTCAGGAAATCATCTTAAATGAGTTAAGCCTAGAGGAAATATCTTTCGCCCTCATACTCGAACGCGTCTGGGAAATATTGATGCCTGTAACATGACGATATCGTCAAAGCATTCTCAGCTGCATTGAGCTGGGAATTGGTAGACGGTGACCAGAAGTCCTTATGCCCAGTCTCGGAACCAAAATGACACACGTCGCAGGGCTAGAGCGTCGCTACTTCTTCCAAGCTCGTTGTCAGACTGAGAAAATGAAGGGGGCTCTGTTTCCGCTGCTGTAGACCTTTTTTCAGCACAGGTGGTGGTTAAGTTGTCTTCACGGCGTGCATATTGACAACTCCACAATGCACTTAACCAGGCTGCTTGCACCTGTCGGGTGTTTGTTCCCCATTCTCGCGTTTCGTTCGCGACGGATATTAATTCATTGATAAGGTTCGACGTAGAAGAGCATTCTAGGCCATTCCAACTTAGAATGGGTTGAGCATCCCTCGAACATTCCAACACACACCCCTTGGTGCTAATGAGGTTCATTTCCGCAGGTTGTTTCTGGAACCCCGCTGTGGTTTTTTGCGCACGGTTCCTCCCATCGGCAATTCGATCTCTAGGTTGTCGCCATGGTCCCAAATCGCTTTGAGCTAATGTCCGACCTAAGAAATACATCCTGTTGGGACCAACTCATCTGGGCCATTGCTTTAATAGTCTCGAATCCTGCATCAACAGTATCTTCCTTCCCCCTTCCCGTAATTACACGCTACATACACTAAGTTACATGGAGTACTAATTCCATTTTTACGAATGCTGACAAAATCTCAAATGGATGCACAGTCCGTGGAATTCGAAGCAAAATACACACATTCAAAAGACGAATCAATCTGATGTCCCGTCGCTCTGGGAATTTTGTTCTCTCTCGCGCACTTCGACGTCCTCCAGGATAGTTTTAATCATCCTACTGCCGAGGACGGCAGCTTCTTTGAACCGCGGCTCGAAGAATTTGGCAGTTTGTTTAAAGCGCTCCTCATACAACTTGAAGCTCCCAAAACTGACACATTGGCTCCACCCACGAGCTGCCACCGTGAATTCGAGGTCATCGGATCTGTGAGATACGTCATGTATAGCCGCCTCGATTGCGCGATGAAGGTTGACTTCGTTGTGGAATAAAGCATCAGCGACACCGATCCACATCCGAAAGATTGGAGTTGCAGCGAGAGAAAGGTGTGCTAAGGGGAGTATGCCAAGAGCCGCCCACGAATCCACCATGGCCAGAATGGAGAGGTGGGAATTTGCTTGGGGGGTGGAAGGCCTTGGTGGCAGGTGCTGGGGGGCGCGCAACTTCCAAGGCTTGGGTACCAGGGTAAACTGATCCAACAACGATTCTGAAAGGAGAATGGGCCGGTATTGACCAGGTGGAAAGACCTTATCTCGAGCCTGGTAAAGCCGCTCCCGGAGCTCGTCTTTCCGGCCTTCAATCATGAGTTTAAAAATTTCAGTGACTGATTGGGCATATTGATTGATTTGGACACGAGCGTAAGGATTCAGGATAGCAAGACCTGCATAAACGTGCCATTTGTTTGCATAGATGCGCAGTGTTATATTCACTTTGACTGTTTCGATGCCACCCACATACAGGCCTTGCTCCCATGGATAGGACTCGGAAGCACACCATGCAGTCCCCATACTGTGCGCATTCCAGAAGATCGTAAATTGAGATGGACTAGATGTCGTCATACAGAGCACATACCTAAGGAAGGCGGCATGTGTTACAGCCTGAGTATTTGCAGTGATCTCGTCGTGTTCATCATAGGTCATGTAGACGAATTTAGAACCGAGAGGACGAAGGACATCCTCAACAAGAGCAACGGAAACTTCGCATGCGCGGTGTTGAATTATCACCTTTCGAACAGAGTTAGCGTAGCACAACTCCCCGTCAGGCTGGGCTTCGCACCAAAGGCTGTCCAACGGGTGACACAGTAGGACCATACAGAGAGTGGATCGACACAATCTTAACGTCCTCCGGAAGATATTTCTCAAACGCCGCACGTTCTGGTGCTTTGACGGACGTTTGGCCGCTGACCACAGCTCCAACCTTCGTGGCTTCATGGTAACGTAGATAACGATAACGTTTTTCCTCCGACGCAGTAAGTATAAAATGACTCACAAGGTCCAAACTGAGCAACCACGGCGTCGATGAACTCTGCTTCGACAGAATAAATAATAAGATCAGCTTGTCTTGAGACAAGATGACCATCAGGGACAATAGTGATTCCGTGTACATCTACACATGTAAGCGCAGTAGGTCCGGGGTTGGCTCTTCCTCATTGCGTCGAGAGTTGGGGATGGCCTCACCTTTCCACTTCTCCTTCACCTCTGCGAAACGTTCTGGGCGATCACAAGCAAGCACTCTGACGCAAGATCAGGGAGAACTAGAAACTCAGAACGGGCTAGGGCGTTAATTAATACACCATACCTCTTCCAGCCTGCAGAACATAATTGTTTCGCGTACATGCTCCCCATCTCTCCCATTCCGATGAGACCGATGCATGGCTGAAGTTCCACCCGATCTGAAGGGGACACCCTTCTGAGTCCCGCAGGCATCCAAAATCCCACCAGGCGTTATGGGAGGGTCAAGTTAAATCATAGGCTTCAATAGGTTCTATACCATGGATTTCAATTGATCGACACGGTTCTTGCCGCGGCCGGGATCGAAGTTTCAATGAAGACCGTAATGGCTACTAATGAGGGTACAAGACCAACTCGAGTACAACGTAGAAAATGCAAAATGCATACAAGAAATCTCGAATCGAGAAATATTCTTATTGCTCGCAAAGTATGACCTGGAAAGGAGTCTTTGCACTAGATGGGCTTGAACTCTGCTCATATTTGTCAGCTTTCCTCGCCTTGGACTTCCTCCCACCGGATCTTTTGCCCTTCGACTTCGGCGAGCACGCCAACCCGGAGCTTCGGTCGGCTTCCAGACGAATGCGTTCCTCCTCAGCAGTCCACCACTTGAGGAAGTTGACTTCGGTTTGTAACTCTTCCTCCTCTCGTTGAATGTCTAGAAAACTAAGCTTAGGCCTCTGTTCATAGGCCCTTTGTATTGTTTGTTGTTCTTGAATATTCACAAGCGAGACGTCAGTCAAGGCTTCAGGCGGGGGAAAGGGGGGTTCCGGTGGGGGTGCGCTCCACGCATCGTAACTACAATTTAGGTGAGAACGGGCAGGGAGACATAAGGGTATTTTCAATCTTACTTGGGTACGCGCCGTTTTCCGGGCGCATCTCGCTTCATGCCCGGCGGCAACCTAGTGGGCGTGATTATAGGGCCCAGCTTGGAGCCCGAAGGCGACGGTGGTGAAGGACGAGAGGCTGGAATCACATCAAATCCAACTTGACGTGGAGGCGCGCCAGTCTGTGGTGCTGCTGGTGCCGGACTCGAGATGGCAGAGGAAAGAAGAGGGAAATCAGATGGGGTTTCGACCATGCCGGTTTTCGTCCTACGGTCTGTAGAACTTCCCCAGGGCTTCTTCATATCTCGTGGGGGACTTGTAGGGGATATGAAAGGTTGTGGCGGGGAAGGCTCAAACCCAATACTACGGGTCTTTCCTTTAGTAGTACGGCCAGGTGCAGCTTGCTCCTTTTCAGCCTCAGCCATGATCGCTCGCAGATCCATCCTGTGACATTGAACTTTGAATGAATGATACGACAATAGACATAATCCCGATAACTTACTTGGGTACAGGGGCATTTTTTGACCTCCACACTCCTTTGGAAGAAGGCTCCTCGAAAGGTGGGACAATGGCGACTTCCTCTCCCTTCGGTTCCATGACCTGAGGAGTAAGTTCTTCATCCATAACAAATAAGCTTTCGCGGGTTATTTCGGACACGCTATAAGTGGGCAAGACGGCAGAAGGCGAAGGACGCCTGGCTCGTCCGCCTGTTGTGACATTTGTTGGAGACTTGCGCACAAATGGCCGCATAGCTAGTATAGCCTTCCATGACCGCATGATCGGTTGAGGTACGTCGAGTTCATGGAGCCAATCGGCATTGCGTTCCATGGCCGCCTGGACTTTTTGATTAGATCTCGAAACAGGGAATTCCTTCGCTTGCTGTTGCCTGACGGTGGCTGCCAAACTGGCAACCACTTCTGAGGGGAGACCATCCAGGAGCCTGCACTCCAGCATGCACTCAGCGTTAACGGCAATAAAAGTTTCAAGCTCCCGGATGAGTTGCTGGACGCGGAAATGATGCGCTTCCATCAGAAGTGACGTGACGTTGCTAATAGAAACATGTCGGAGGATTACTGAGGAGCATATAAGTACAAGACGGTCGAGGAAAAGCTCATCCTGTAGCTCGCTGTCTGAGAACGGAATTGAAACTCCTTAATTAGTGGTACTCACAGCCGACTCCATGACGGAAAGTACAAAATCAAGGAAGGTGTCAAGGGTATCTGCAAAGTCTGAAGGATAGAAGTATTGTTAGTTGTAACTAATGTCATGCGTATTGGGTACTTGCCTATGGTGTCAAATAAACTCGTTTCTACATCTTCATACATGAATCTGAATACAAGTGACATAACTTTCCATTCTTTATGTTTAAAGTTGAGTTCGATAATGCCGTCTTTCCAACGTTCACGTGTCCAATCATCATCGTCAAAGAAGGCAGCAAAGACGGGGGATCGAGCCCTGAGTATGACCGAGTGGCATGCAACCCGCCTGTCAGCCAATTCAATAACGACATCGTGCGTCGGTAGATGTGAGGATACTATGTCAGGTGGCAACGATAACATATTCTGAGCTTCAGCAAATAAATAGGCCATATCCGAGGCTAACGTCGATTTGGGGAAAGTTCCTTGAAGCGATTTCATGAGAGGAGCCAAGTCGAGAAGTCGAGAAATGGTTTGTAATTGTGACTTGATCGTCCATGGGTCGATGTGCAAAGCCGTGAGTAAGGATGTGGTCGCCTTAACGACAAGAGGATTCCAAAATTTAGGTAATTCGTCAGTGTAGAGGTAATGGAGAAGAATCAAAACGGTCAACGTGTGAACTCCGACAAAGTTCAGGCGGCGAGCTGAAGCATCGGCATTGATGCAAATTCGGTTGGCCATGTCCTCCAAGAAGTGTCCCTGTAGAACGTCCCTGAAGGCAGGACATCTCGATGCCAGAATGACCCCGTGAACAGGGATATCTACATCACAATGTACGATGGTATCCGCACCATTTGGACTTGAGAGCGTTACATTGTGGTCAGCACACCTGCTAGCTCCTATTGCACCAGCAAGTTGCGAAAGCGCTTTCACGCTCTGCTCGACGGGCAATGAATCAGTTGTATCGCCGTCCTCATCGTCTAAGTCAGCATCTGTGATGTTCTCTACCACCGTAGAAATTTCGGCAGCGCCAGGGGCGTGGTGGGTAGAGTGTGAACTAAAGGCAAAGGGCCTTATTCCGTTCATGTCATCTTTCAACCTGGTTCCTGACAGTGCGATGGGGCCTAGTTTGACCTCCTGGCGTAAAGCTGCGAAGGATCCAATGCTGTTCGTGTAGACTCGGACGATGCGCTGCAAGAAGAGGACACGCTGGAATCTGAATAACTTATTTGCCTGGACATCGGTTGTACCGAGTATGGAAGCAGTGTGTCGTTCGGGGGGTTTCGAGGATCGTGTTCGAACGTAAACGTGGCCAGATACCGTGCAGAGGATAAGTGCGCCGTCCGGGCCTAACGACACATCCTGTAGCCACGATCAGGTATGAATTTGTAGCGGTGCCATACGGAGCTCACCGTAGCTGCGCTCATCTGCCTGCACATAGCCCATACTTTTTGAGGCTTCATAGCGAGGCACTTCTCTTTTCCTGCCAGCATATGGTTCTGACCATCGACGATTGCCTGATTTGTCGAAGCTATAGTAAAAGTGTACACATCACCTCGGTCTGAAAGTGCAGCGAAGGTATGATCGTGTGAGGCTATTTTCTTGATGGCTGGGCGGCCGACGGAATGAGGTGGACGATACGTCGAAACGAGGTCCGGGGGCAACGTGTTCACAGGGAATCTATATCGAGGATAAGGATTCATAATCCATTCCCGAACAAGGTGAGCTTACCCAACCCTGAAATGCGTGTGATTTGAATAACAGATAACGTCATGATTCTCGGTGAGACATGCCATTGCAACGTCCTAGCAATGCCATTGAGTGATAAGAAGCACAGTGAACTCATTCACCATACGGTAATCGTGACACTGATGACAGGGTCCCCCAGCGAAGATACCGCGCGTGGTGATACCTGAACCTGTCCACCGTATCCTAAGCAAATGAATCGGTGATAGGTGCAATGTTGGGAGGGACGCATTAGGGCTCTGACCTAATTGACCTCCATTTGTACCCCAGGTGTACACGATTTCCCTGGTCCAAGCGACACTGGCCATCCGACAGGCAGCAACACCTCTAACTGCCTTCCCCTTCAAAGCCCCAACAATCCTCCTAGGAATAATTTGCCATTGCTCATCCAGGTACCGCCTTCTAGATGGTGTTGCAATCTCTACCACATAACCAAGCTGACTGAAACGGTTGAGGCCCCAAGAAAGGACGTCACCCTGTTTCGTTAGGGCCAAGGTATGATCCGGTCCACAAGCAACAGATACAACATTTGAGATGTTGAGAAGTGATCCGAAGCTGTGCTGAGCCGAAGTGATCCTGGGTCCAAGCCTGCCACCCCCCCCAAAACCACAAAGAAGAATGTTCGCACGTTCCTGTTTTCTGACTACAACCGTGTGAAATTTGGACATATCCAGCCCTATGAGAGGGACAGGATAGAAACGTGCGCTCCCTGCGAGTTTTGGCACTTCGTTGCCGCATTGATTTGGGATGGATACCAATTCGGGATATGAGCGATCATTTGAATCGCCCAGCCCCAATGAGGCATTTCTATCACGAACACAACACATGAGGCAATCAAGTCAATGAACGAGAGGGACAGCTTGCTGACCGATTTGAACCCCAGGTGAACAACTCGGAGGGTGCCTTGCCACTAACTGGACATGTGTTTCCAACGGTAGAGTTGTACAACTCAAAAGCAGTGTACCCATCATAGTCCTAGGAAACGATGAGTCTTTGCGCATTTGCGACGACAGTAACCAACCTTGATCGAGGTGTCAATTTCTGAGTGTTGGAGAAGTAGTATCGCAGCTGCAATGTTTCCAACATACAGTGAACGATGAAGTGCTGTCCAACCGTTTTCCGTATCCTGGATGTTGACATTGACGGCATTGTGACTCAGAAGCATTCGCACATAAGAAATCGAACTGGGTTCTAGGCTCGAGCAAGCTCGATGCAGAACAGTTTTCCCCAAATGTTCCTTCGCATTCACGTCCACAGGTGGGGCCGATAAGACAGAGCCTAAAGTCCATGATCCAGGTGCACTCCCGACCGCCGTTCCGGCCCCAACTATCTTTGGGGAGGACACGGAGGTGCGATCCAGCAACTGCTGGAACGCCTTCTGGCTATCGGAGGCAAATGCAGCATGGAGTGGGTTCATGCAAAGGGGGGCTAGACGACTAGGCGATCCTGACGAAGCAACCGATGTGAATGGGCTGCTTCTACAGATCGCTGCTTCGTCGTGGTAGGCGTCAGGTCCCTCGGCTTGAAGGATACAGACGCGCTAAGAAATTCTCGGGAGCCGCTAACGTTGAGAGCAATAAGTCAAGGAGTCTGTCGATGAAGGCCTAGGAGCCAGAGCCGGAGTCAATCGTGTGAAGCGTGGGAAATGGATCCGCTCTCACGATGAAGCTAACGGCCTTCAGCGCTTAAATCAGGAGCTGGTTGGCCCTCTCTTTTCACGCTCATACTGGAGTCGCCATCTTCCCACGGGCTACAAAAGCACATCCTTAATGGCATCGTTCGTTCCATTGTCAGCAGGATAGTAATATATCCCACTTATGTTGGGCCTGATCTTCGCAGGTTCCCTCCAACTCCTGGCGCACACGCACTTCCGCCACTCCCTCCAGGATGGACTGAACATCGAGGTGTGTCCGCAGTGGAAGCTCTATCGGAACTCGCTTTGTTAAGTCCTGCTGTTAGCGCCTACTGGACAGCTATATTACTACCACGCTGCGACAAACCATTCAACGTATGTCCGGCCGCTACCACTCCCAGGCGCCTCTCAGCAGTCGATCCAATCTAACAAGGAGAAACCGCTTCTCAAAATCCCTATTCCTAACACCCCATGGCTTCGAGTCAAGACTACTCACGGAAACGTCTTCTTCACTCATACTGAAAAGAAAGAGAGCGTATGGGTAGTTCCCGATGAGATCAAGGATGCCATTTCTTCAATGGATTGGCCTCAGCTTGAAGAAGAGGCTTTGCAAGAAAAGGAAAAGAAAGCGCAGGAGAAGGAGGTTGCCCGAGTAGCGGCCGAAATCGAGAGCGATAAGCTCAAACGGAAGGCTCAAGAGTCTGAACTACCGTCTGTCGTGGATGATTCCGATAAACCTAAGGGCAAGAAGCGTAAGGCCGAGCCGATATCTGACACGCCACAGGCAATTCAGGAGATTTCAATTGCGCCAGTCTCTGGCCCCCAGCCAGATGACGACGATGAGGAGGGAGAGGAAGATCAAAGCGAAGTGTTTTCGAACCCGGAGGAAGAAGAAAAATGGCAACGCGAAATGGCTGAAGATATGGCTGAGCTCGCCGCTGAGGAAGCCGAGGCAGGAACAACGTCCGCCGATGACAAAAAACACCCTAAAGGAAATGAGGATGAAAAGGAAGATGAAAAAAATCCGAAGTTTACTGTGCCTAACCAAGTTAACCTTTCTCCCGAAGAGGCCAAAACCCTATTCAAGGTGCGCCCAACCTTGGACATCTGGCAGTTGAAACCATTCTCATTATCAACAGACTCTCCTCACGGACAAGAACCCATCTCCTTTAGCTCCTTTTGCTTCTGTCATGCCTCTGTTAATCACTGATCCCCGTTACGTCCTCCTTCCCTCCCAAGCCGATCGAGAATCCGCCTTCAACGAATGGTGTCGCGAAGCATCGCGTGCCGCGAGACTGGCAAAGGCTTCTACGAAACTTCATACTTCTGCTCTACTCGATGCTGAGGAAGTTGATTCGAGCACAGGCGTGTTGGCGTCTATCGAGTCACCGAAGCTCAGCAAGGCGGAAGAGAAGAAGCAAGCTCAAGAAGGGTATGACGCCCTTCTTAAGACCGAGGTAACTTCCACCCGAATGACATGGGAAGACTTCAAGCGAAACTGGAAGAAAGACCGCCGGTTTTTCGCCTTTGGGAGGGATGACAGGGAGCGAGAGAAGGTTTTCCGTGCTTATCTGAAAGAGCTCGGCGAAAGTAAGCAGTCCCCTTGCCAGCGATTGGGATCATGCGTTGAAGAAAAATACTGGTAGAGAAACGGGCACAAGCAAAAAAAGCTGAACTTGACTTCATGGAATTACTGAAAGAGCACAAGTCCACCATCCCGATTACTCCTAACTCTGACTGGAAGGAGGTGTGTGCCATTTTTGCCACCATAGTCCCTCGGTTTATTCATCCTATTTCTACCGAAGGTGAAGAAGACGCGGAGCCTTATCAAAGATCTTCGATATGACGCAGTTGGATCCTCCTCTCTTAGAGAAGAACTATTTGGGACATTCCTAAAAGCTTTATCTTCCAATGCCCCACCCATCGATGCCGCAACCCCCCAGCCTGCCAGTACTCCCCCACAGACGAAAACCGACAGAAAAGCTCGCGCCGCACGTGCGCTTCAGGAACGTACGGAGCAAGCACGCGTTGAGAGAGATAGAGCTGAGAGGAGTATAGCAAAGAACAAAGCTGCACTGGGGACGGCCGAGGCCGAGCAGGAACTCATGTCGTTATACGTCGATTCGATTCGGGACCCCAAAGTGAGTCATGACAATTTGGCTAGGACAAACGTTAAGTAACTTTATCCCCCTAGGTATCGTACCGCGAATTTGAATCAACATTTGCCAATCATCCCCGATTCGCCTCTTCACCATTAGCAATCGCCCAAAAGCAACAGCTTTTCGCACAGCATGCCGCTCATTTGAATACCAAGTATCAAACAGCATTGGATGCGTTATTCCTTCAGCATGCCCCTTCTTTATCCACAATTTTTGATGACCTTCCACCTTCATCGACTGAATCTCTCGATGCATCATTACCAGCCCAAAAACTAGGTATACAGTGTACGGATGGAACTATGAAGAGAGCTTTGATGTCTGGATGAGACGACGGACTGGCCAAGCGCGGCGCGATTTCGACGCGCTATTACACGAGAACTCTTTCGTTGAATTCTGGGGCAAAGTGAAGAAACTTCGTGCGGATGGTGAAGGTGCAAACATCATTGAGGATGAAGATGATCTGGGATCATCGATGATATGAACGAGAGTGGAAAGACAGACATCAAGACACTTGCTAAATCCATTTCCGAGAACGAAATGGACAGGGTATTGAAGGTAAGCTTTGCTGAAATACATCCTATGATTCATAAAATCCTGCGTATTGAATGATTGTTCAGAACGATCAGCGGTATCGTGCGTTTGATCATTTGCCAGAGGAACGAATGCGTTGGGTGAAAGTGTGTTAGCAAACCTACATTTGTCGCCGGTTGTTCACCATTTTACCATAGGATTACCTGTCTTCGCTCTCCGCTCCAAAACTATCCGTTCACATCCCCCGACATGACCGTTCTTAAAAATCGCATTAGTTTGTTATACATACATGTATTCGAAATATACATAAAGATCTGCAGGCGCACTTAATATCTCTCAGTCGATGACACCGAGATGGTCCTCCTTAATTGTTCCGATAGCAAACTAAGCAAACCCGTCATTGAGTACACCATGAATTTCTTGACGGATGGTGAGGAGCTTACAATTTCAGTTGCATCCACACGAGTCCCAACGATTTTTATCCGTACATGAGTATTCTTTTCAATTACCTGAAAGAAGGAGAGGTTGTCAGTTGCTTCCTATTGGGAATAGCGAGGTGGGGACGAAGAGGAAGATGGATGCGGTACCTGGTCCGCGGACGTCCATGCAGGGGGGGAAGAATTGGGGTCAAATTTAAAGTCCGTTCCAATTAACTATCGGTACCCTCATTCAGTGTCTACCAATAGATGCGCAAGTCATTGCAGCAGCCTTACGTGATTTGACACGAAAATGTTGAGCGGTCCAACTTCAGCAAAGAAGCCCATCTGCAGAAAATGGAAAGCTCGATAATCATCTCGAGCAGAAAGAGAGCCACGTTCATTCAGGTACCTTGTTCACCTCCCCAACGATACCCTCCAGAACCTCCCCCTTAAACGGCTTGAAGACGATGGCTCGGTACCGCGCTATAAACTCAGCTTGACCGGTACCAGGAAGCACAATTCCAGCTCCAACATCCGTAACAGTGAGAACACATATTATATACCCAAACTTCCCAGAGCAGGTGCCTTCAACGTCCGACATGAGCTTGCTTTCCAGGTACTCAACCATTCGCGGGCCAAAGTACGAAGGGTGAAGCATTATCGTATGGGTAAGCTCCTTCTGTGTTCAATTCCCCGAAGGTCAGATTTTCTCTTTCGAAAACACCAATAATCTGTCCTTGGGTGGCATACTAACGATGAAGAACATAGTAAAACGACTTGAAGACGGTCTGTGTCCAGACCAACGTTGAATCAGGAAGAACCACGTGCCAATACATAAGTTTTTTGAACTTCCACTGGCCAAAAAAAAATGACTTCGACCCCGGTGCTATCTGGGCAAAGAGCCATTGTAGGCATCAATTTAGGGAATGCATATGCATCGATTGCTGTTATTAACAAGGTTTTTGTGCTGGCCATATGATTGAAATAGACTACTAAACCAATGCTTTCAGGAAGGCAAGCCCCACTGTATTGCAAACGAGGACGGTGAGCGCCAAATCGCTTGCGCCATATCGTACGCCGGAGAGGAGGTGGTAAGCATTGCTATCTAACTTAAGGAGGGTTTTTTTTTCTCCACCAACACAATTGCTGCATAGTATATCGGTAATCAAGCTAAACCACACCTGGTGAAGAACGCGCAAAACACGATCCTTGGCTTCCGAAATCTCCTTGGGAAAAAGTATGCCCAAGACCGACTCTATCCCCCGTGTATGACCCACTGATTCAATTCGTGTGCTTTGAAGGCTCTCCGATGTAACATCACAACCCAACAGCACATCTGCACCTACAATAGATATCAACGGGGAGCCCGGATATACAGTGCAAATTCTCCTTCCTGCACCAACACCCGCTCAAGGTTCTACTCCTGCGAGAAGTGGCACCCCAGCAACCAAACGCGGCACTCCAGCGGCGTCTAGGAGAGGTGGTACTCCAGCAATATCGGCAAGGTCCACTCCGGCTCCTACTAGACCTCCCTCCCCCCCACCATCAGCTCCCAAGTCACTTACCGTATCAGAAGCGTCTTCCATATTTCTTTCCGCGCTCAAGCGATCGGCAGAGGACTTCCTAGGCAAACCTATCGAAGGCGCCGTCATTTCAGTTCCGTCGCACTGGGATACCGAGCAGCTGGAAGCTTTGAGGCGGGCAGCTGAAGCTGCCGGTATTTCTGTTCTGCAATTAGCTGCGGAGGAAGGTCTCGCAGTCCTTGGCGCTGAAGCCGATGGCCCACTTGAGTCTACGCCCACCCAAGCGAAGCCCCCTCATGATCGCACGACACTCGTCGTGGATATGGGCGCCTCCACTCTCACGTTGAGCCTGCTTTCCATTAAACAGTCACTCATTCATCCTCTCGGATATTTGACGGTTCCAGGAGTAGGAGGCGATGCTATCGATGATATACTTGTCCAGCACTTCGCCAAGGAATTCACTAAAAAAACTAAAGTCGCTTTGAGTCTCCCTGCTCAGACTCCAGAGGACCAAAGGGCAGAAGCTAAGCTGCGTCTTGCCGTCGAGTTCACCAAACGCACGCTAAGCGCATCATCAGGTGCTGCGGCGTGCTCAGTTGAATCATTAAAAGACGGGATGGACTACAGTGGAACCCTCAATCGACTTCGGTTCGATGTCCTGCTAGCAACTTTCTACGCTCGAATCGCAACGGAGGTGAACAAGGTTTTAAACACAGCAGCCATCAACAAGGAGTCAGTTGATGAGATTCTACTCGTCGGAAGCAGCGCTGGGCTCAGCGGTCTCGCGGAGAAACTGGAGCTTTTCTTTGGCGAGAACTCAAAGGTGTCCATTCGCTCGGATCTGAACCCCTCGGAGCTTATTGCTAAAGGGGCAGTCGCCCAAGCGGAATTATTGATTTCCCTTCCCAAGGACAGCCCGTTGCATGATGCTTTTGCACACGCCAATGAGGTTGTCAAGGTCATCGCCACCGCTAAACCAATCGGACTCGTATTCCCTGGGTCAAATGATAACGTCATCCCCGTTGTTCTCGTTCCGTCGGAAACACCCTTACCCGCCCGTCGGATCGTGCGACTCGCTGTCGCATCAGGCGCTACGCGAGTCGGTTTTGAAGTTTGGGAGGGCAACCATGGACTCAAGGAGTTGCCCAAGCCTGAAGGCGTGAAGGCTGATGCGGAAGAAGAGGATGAAGAAGAGGAACCACAAAGGGAGGCCATTGTGACTAGATCGGAATTCCTTGGTGCATTGGCTGTGGATATAACGCCACCTCCTGCGACGAAGAATAAAAAGAAAGCGGAGCCTGTCCACATTGAAGTCAAAGTGGACGTGAGTGCTGAGGGATCTGTTTCCGTTGCGTCACGGCAGGTGAAGGAGGATAATAGCGGTAATTGGGTCAGCTTCTCCATCTAGCCTTGCCTCCCATGGTATCAGAAAAAAAACCCGGGAGTTGATAGACCATATCCGTTTTTCGCAACATTAATGTGCCCGGGATGCCATGGAAGATTGCTATTTGCTAGTAATATACATATAGGTGGATGTCGGTATAGCCTATGTTCGATATGCGCATGAAATCGGCTGTGGTCAACTGCATTGTCTGATTGGGCATGTTCTGATGAATATGATCTACATCGTGACATACCCACAACCAGTGCGAAGACTCGGACGCTAGCCCAGATGCTTCTCCCAGTCAAACCCACATACATTACGACCGGACGGATACTACGCATGTCACTGGTACTTGTACAGCAACATCCGTCTCAGGGCTTGCTGTAGAATAACTGGTGGATGGCAACTTACGCGGCAAGTGCCCGCTACTCTTTTACCTACGCCGATCAGCGTAGATAACGCGGCACCAATGCGCTTTCAGAGGTGTTATTGAACACATTGAAAACAAGGGAAGCGTGGAACAACAATTCAGCACGCGACGTGAAGTACGCGACCTTGTCCAGGATGCTGAATTGATTGGGAGTGGGTGAGACTGGATTGGTGTAGAATACGGAGTTGATCTAACTTGCGCGGTATTGATTAGAGACTAGGATGCCTAAAGTAGTACAAACAAGACTCTGAGGCAGAAGGTGAACGGAGAAGATCGAAAACGTTATAGAGGTAGTTATCGATGTTTGGAAAGAGGGAGGACGCGATTAGACAAGCACTGAATGCGATGTATGCGCAGAAGATTCAAACGAGTATCGTTGACCGTTAAACAAGGATGATATACACGGTGACTCGAAGCGTCGGTGGCGACAGAGACGTCAGGTGGGGGTGTAGCAGTAGGAGGTGGGACGCGAAAGTGGAGGAAAGTGGAGGTGAAATTATTGGGGACAGGTCTGAATATATAAAACATCATCAGGAATTTCGGTGTACACAAGTGGTTCGCTTACACTTGCGCGGCACACTTGACGTAAAAATATCCAGAACCAAACCGAGGGAATACATAATGCTCGGAAAAACGTTGGCAGGAACCCTTTTCCTGAAATTCAGTAGACCGGACATTCGTTAAAGAGAGGTTAATTAGACATCTACGAGCAATTTGTTGTCCATGAGGTTGATCAAACCGCGAATATAGTATGCAAGTAAACACGCAGTTTGATCAGAAAATTGGTTACCATGTCTCGTATATAGGTAACCCTCTGAGCATCTGCTCGTAAATATACTGTCGTCGCATGATATAAATATTAATCCGGTCCCTCGTCCACTACCGATTCGCAAATATATCAGATCTTCATCCTCGTGTAGGGGTGGTGCCGACCCGGAGAAATTACAACTCCAAGAGTTTATCATATGCTGAATGGAGTATCGTGGGTGAACTGCCGATCGTGTGTGCTCACTGCCGTCCATACAACTACCACCCCGGATACTTCTTCCAAGGAGAGGCACCTGTGCGCTGTTGGGGTGTACATTTCAGCGGCTACAGCGTAAGGAACGCTAGAAAGAAGGAATGTATATTGTAGAACAAGCGGCAAGACAAATTTAGAATAGGCGTTAGAGAACCTAAGATCATGCGAACGAGTGGAGCTGACTCGAAGCAGAATTGGTTAACTCTGTTTAGAACCGATAACGATATATAGTCTTGAATTCGAAATCAAACACACTATGCAAGCAATCCTCCACGGACTATGGGGGGTGGAGGGAAAAGGTCAAGAAAGCAATCAAGGGGAAAGTCAAGCAAACTGTCTTCAAGCCAGACGGAGACGGGAAGGTCGACGGCATCCTCACCTGATTCGTCATCGGATGTCTGGGCCTCGTCGTCACTTGGACAATGCGCGTCATCCGATCCGTTATCAGAGACGATCGTAAAGTCTTCCAGGTCAACAACTAGGCCCAACAGAAACGTGTTAACGGAGAAGGGGGCGTTACCTCCTTCAATAACATCGACAATTTGCTCAAACGCGTCCATAGACGCGTGAATATGCGGGAACATGGAAGAATTAGGGGGAAAGGCCATATATTCATCTACACTTACCTCGTCTAACCTATCGTCGTTGTCCAGCACCAGCGGCAAAACGTCCAAGGGGACTCCTAACAAATCATCATCCGACACACGTTGAGTTGCTTTGGGAGAAGGTGTAGTGTTCATCGTACGAGTATACAAGTCCAGAACGCGAGCGAAAGGTGAAGGGTCAGAAACAACGGGTGGCTGGTTTTCGGTACCGAAACGCGTCGCGTCACATCCGTCGTGTTTGTCACATCCAAAGCGCTTTCAATTGAGCTGAGTTTTTGGCGATGAAACTCTTTTATGCTTGACAGTTGAACTCGAGGTCCAGACTTGAGCTGGTATTTTCCTCCGACTTACAGAATGAGAATGTTTGCTAGCTCGGTTCCGACTCCAACCATTGCAAATTTGCAATTGTCTTGACTTACTTATCCCGACCAGCGAGATTTTCGAATTTGTGGTTGAGTTGTCATCCCTGAACTCACGTAGCCTGTTGGTTAAACACCAAGTATGATGTGCAGGGAAAACGTCTGTGCGTTTTAGAAAGATCTATCTTACGAAACAAGTCCCCATACTCGATTTTCTCCTGGTATTGCCATGCCTTCGACCTTTAGGTCGCTCCAATCGACTCGTGCATCACCAACCTATCTCAAGTAAATCGAATGGCTGGTCCCACCGCCCCAGACCCGCAAGTCATCCATCTCTGTTTGCATTTGCCGTTTTATGCTCTCTTCATCTTGTATCTTTCGCCCTTCATTTCGGTCACTGCATTCACTTGTGGAAGGTGAAACGCTGTGCGCGTCATCGTTCACAATCCAATCTCTTCTAGCGCGTTCGTGATCCAGTTACTGATGTAAAGGAATATGGCACAGCCAACCTCAAATTGACCGACTTCGATGGGGTACATAGATTCCATTTCTCCAATCCATCCCCAGTTCGGACCTTGGGAGGCTTCCCCCCGAGCTATCGTGTTGATTTGAGCTTCCGAGAAGTACCCAGCGAGGATCTTGTAGGCAGTCGGACAATATGGTAGTTCCTTTCCCTCAAGCAAGTCCGCTCCAGGTTCCAATTGACAACCCTTCCCCTTGAACCCAGCGACCAACCCTGAGGACCTCACAAGCTGCCTTCAAGTTGAACGATACGGATTCTTTAAGGTTCAATCAGCCGTAGGCGTTGGTTCGTGAATCCGTTGCAGCTGGATTTGGTGAAGGCGATGAGCCCACTCTTTCCTCGATCACCTATCCGAAATTCAGCTCAAACTACCATTCTCCTGGCTGAAGGCTGCCGTGTGACTTTCGTTGACTACCCAGAGGAGTCCGAGAATCCCTTTATGAAACAGACGACGCGGAAACTCTGGAAGCAAACCTTCTCTTTCTGCTGCAGACCGGCATGCCTGTGGTTGAAAAGGCGCGCTTCTACGTTAGGTCTCGCGATTCGCCAACGGCCACTCGCTCACAACTGGCTCCTCATCCTATCTTCGTTCATTCTCACAACCCTTCATCTCATCGTTCGTTGGGATGGGTAATTACGGAGCTCCTTGTCCTAAGAATTGGGTTCTGCTTATCCCTGCTTTGCCTGCTTACTCTATTTTTGATTCTCAATCCTTTGCCCTCCGCCTCCCATGTCACCTTCGTCTTTCTCTCCAATTTCTCTACTTTCGTCTGTTAAGGTGAAAATATTAGGCAGCTCAATGACGATCGTGTCAGTTTTCAGGGAAAACATGGGGAACTGGTTCGAGTTTTATTAAGCAATATATAACACTCAACAACCCCTAATCACCAGGACCAGGGATGTCACGGCCAAATGAATGAAAGCCTTCAGGATGGGCAGCAATGTGGGTATCATTTCCGAGGGTTGACTGATGCCTCCCAACCATTAATGCTTTTCGGAAAGCTCGGCGATTCCAACACGGGTGTTGCCAACGTCGAAGACTAGAAAACCAAGATCTGCTGAACTCATATCATCAGGAGGAGGATAAAGGAGCGTTTACCAGCATAAACGTTCTGCAGGAAAGCATCACCAAGGATCACCAAGTCAAGGCCTTCTATAGCGGCGACGCCGGCAAAGCAGTCGCTTGACCCTTCGGAGATTTGGCCGAAGTTGAGGTATTTGGAAGAAATGGAATACGAAACATTGTTGAGTGTGACGGAGACTTGAGGATCGGAGTTACAGGGGTCTGTGGAAAAATGTAGTTCGTCAGGTTTCCAGAGACAAAGGTAGAGGTTCCAACGGGGACGCACAAGAGTAGTAGGTGATGCCATCAGTCTGATTAACAATGGCACTGCCCTTAATAGCCTGATAGAACTTCCCAACTGTGACTGGATCAGCGACGATAAGAGTGGTACCTGTATCGATAACGGCCGATTGATGGCTGCTTGTCCTGTTTTGTCCAACATTGATACCATCGAGATGAACCTCCCAATAAATTAGTCTAGTCACATTGCTGTAGGTAAGAGGTTTCCGATACAGCGATTCATCGGTTCCGCCGAGGCGGAGCGATGAACCGGAGTCTGAGAGGTGGAAAGCGAAGACCGGTTCTTTGACGGATCGCTGTTGGATGAGTGTGTGGAAAAAAGGTGTAGAATTGAACGTAGAAAGGCCAGGCCAGGCCAGGCCCAGCAAACCATCCATTGGTGCAGTCTGAAACTCCCTGTTGAGCCAACTAATGGGTGAGAACCCTGATTAAGCATCGGATATGATTGGAGACGAACGTGCTGTAGTCGGTGGCAGATCCGAGGGATTGATTCTTGGCTGTGAGGCCAGCCACAGTGACAGTGTCAGTGTATATCACTCCGCTGGAGGTAGAATTGTCGGCATAAGTAATCCTAAACGTCTTTCCAACCTCAGAGGAAGTAGAGCTCGAGCTAGATGAAGACATAATAAATGATAAATGCAATGCAGCATCGCAGATTCTGAACAAACCAAGGGTCGTAACGCGTATGATTCCCACAATTATTGCAAGAGATATCAGGAAGGAAGGGGTCGCTGCTTCCGCTATGTAGTAGGAGAGAAGGCACGGCTGTCGCTTCCAACTTACAGTCGAATCTCCAGAAGTAACTCACGTGTCGAAATCGGCCGTAAAGTCCTTGGGAGGGGTTCCAACCGAAATAATGCCGTACCAAAGTTGTCGGTCGTCGCCTGTTAAGGCCACGGCACCGCTCTTCGAGGGCCTGCTCCGAGCGGCATGATGTACTAAGCTAGTATCCTTCTTGTCATTCTTCAAGCCGGCGTTGTATTTGCTGGGGAGAAAAAAAATATATTTGTTGAGAATTCACGGAAGAGCTGGGAAATTTCATTCTTACATGGCGACATGTCTAAGGTGGGCATTGATAGCCTTCATGTTGACAACGCCATCCTGAGTTAAGGCGGGACCCCTCTTGCTAATTGGGATAGAAAAGCCTTTCGCAATGGGACCGGCAAGCGCCATGAAAGGTAGGGAAGCAATAATGAAAGGAGTGGTGAGCTTCATTTTTGGTTTGAAAGAGGGAACAAGTACAAGTGGTGAGTCCCCATCACGGAGGACAGTTCTTATTCTTTTCTGTCCCTGCGGTCTCAAGCATTGGCTTCGGTGATATCTCTGGGATTACAATATTTCCTCACAGTTATGCATTCTACACCAATATCTATGCCAATATCAATTATATGATGGATGTTACAGCGGTTTGCTTGTTACCTTGCTTGCAAGGTCACTTCCCGGGTCCCCAATTCGTGGGAATTTTACTTTTCCCACCTGTGGTTCATCGGTTGTTATATTACTATTGTTCATTGATGTCTCGTGGGTGTTCCCTCATCGTGATTGTTGCTCCGTGATCTTTCTTCCAGTCAATTCAACCCATGGGCTCATAACTTCTTCAAATGGTGAACACCGTGGTTCTCTTGTTATCAAATTCGATTGTTCATACTGTACTACAGTGCTTGCATGGCAAGCCCCCAACCTGCCTCGCAAGTGTGGGACATGTTTCTATAGGCACTATAGAAAAAATGCCGACTCAATTTCATCAACTTCTGTATGAATTCCAGTTTTCAGTCTTATAGCGTCTGAACTGTATGCTGAAGATTTCAGAGGCATTCAGCTGGTGTGTACGATGCATTCCTAGCTGGTGATCTTCAGCTGAATAAATACTTAATTTGAGATTCCATCCCAACATCGACTCAACATGGAACCATAGTCCATATGTGTACGGTTTACTGTTGTAATTTGTACAAATACAGCGATTACGATAGTTGAGGCTGTTCCACTCGCCTCAGCATCAAACTAGAGATCTAGGAGCTGAGGGAAGGGGAGTCCAAAAATTGTTACTACCCTTTAATACACAGTGCACGCTCAGCTATAGCTAGTTGCGTGCACCCGTTGAGCAAAGGAAGGGTAATATAATATAAGCGCTGACTTTCGTGAGAGTATAATCTTATGGTGCAATAAGACCAAGAACCCAGGTTCTAAAAACCCCTGTCAAGCTCGAGACTCGTAATGGAAGCGTAGTCTTCAGGTCTGGATGCGGTGCCAAGGATCGTGTCGTCATCATCAATGATTTCCTTGAGAGTACACACAGGCTGCTGCAGAGATCTTCCGCGCGAGTCCACTCTTCTTGTCAAAAGCTTGAGGTTGAAGTTGCTCCTGGTTCTGTATGAACTCTTCCTTGATCTGTTCCATCCTCGGAAGGTTTGGAGTCAAAGGGGAATGAGAAAAAAATAAATAACTTATCAGTGCCAAAATATCCGTGCACATAGTGCAACCCTCTTGAATCTCATACCAAACCCCCGTTCCCAACCAAGATTAGTGGAGTGCATGTACTTACCTTATACTATCTCATCTATCTCATGCTGCACAATTGGATCCACCCATGCATTGCTGTGGTCAAGAATGTAGATCTTGTTGTCCACTTCAATCCGGCCAACATCAAGAGCTTGGTTCAAGAATTCATTGTGGGTCCGAAGAGGCAGATTGGCTGGGTCATAGATATGAGTGTCCCCACTCCTGAGGTGAGGGTGCTGTGAGCGATCATGTGGAACATAGTGGGCTGAAGATCGCACATCAGGAATTTGAAGTCCCGTGATGTTGCAGCAATGACATGGCACAATGCCATTGTGTCCCTTCATCTGCATGAGTTTGGCAATGGCAGGCATGTCACCAAACACACTCAAGAGGTGAGCTCGAAGCTTGAATATCTTCCCCTTCTTCCCAGAGGCATCAAATGCATCGACACCCTCAGCAAGTTGGAGGAGTTCATTGATAAGAGGTGAGAGGAATGAATCAATCTCCTTTGGTGCTCTTGGGCCAGGAATGGAGCCAACACAAAGGATGTTGTCAAGGTGTACCCGGATTTCGGGTGGGAGGTTGTAATTGAAGAGAATGATAGGCCATGTAGTAAGTTTCTTCTTCTTGAACGGGCAAAAACTGTCTGTTGAAAGACCTAATGCCACATCCCGCTTCCCATCAAAGAACTTCCCCCCAGTATCCTTTCCTTGGAGAACAATGGATGTGTTGAGGAGCCTTCGATAACGCTCTCCATCAAACACGTCCCGGACTTTCCCTTCCTCATGATACCCATTGCTGGAGCTTGATGTCTTGAAATACTGGGAGTGATAGCGCATGGCCTGGGCCATTTTCATACTTTTGAACAGAGTCCTTAAATGCGGGATAATGGGGAGGTAAGAAAACTGACATGCAGCATGACGTGTTGTTGCCTCAGCTTGGGGGTGGCTTCTGTCTGCAGCTGAGTCATCAAATGGGCACGAGGTAAGATATTGTGACTCTCCACAATGATGACAGCTTTGCTGACTTGCATAGTCACCAGCATAGCAGATACATGAGTTATGGCAACAGTCAAACTTCATGCCACTGAGTTCCTGAAGACGTGCAAAGGCCAGATATGGAGTCTTGAGTGTTGAAATATCGGCATTAGCTGAGCCCGGGAATGTATATGGTAATTCATTCCACCCTTCTAGTGAGAGATTATGTTTGACTTTGTATGCAATGCACTGCAGGAGAACCTGATCTGAAGAATGAAATCGTTGGCATTCTTTTCCAGAATCCCATCAGTGTCACTCAACATTTGCTGCGAAATCAACATATGTATTGGCAAAATCTCAGACTCAAGTTCTTCCTTGAGCAAGTTGTCAAGTGTATCTATGCCATCCCAACCATCCACACTGCTATCGCTTCCCTTGCCATCCTTTCATTGCTGAAGTCGAATTCATCATCTGGTAAGCCTGGTTGGAGCTGCTGGCCCAAATGCATCCTAGTTTCACCAGCAGCATCTTCGTTGCTGCCTGTGCATCCATTGCCACCTGAACCCGAGCCTTCATTGTCACCTGTGCCCATCAGAGAAACTGGCAAATGCTCAGTCAATGGGGTGGGCATTCCAGAATGCACAGCGGTGGAGGAAGACAACAGTGATTTCCCGCACTTTGAGAAGGTAAATTCACATCAGGAGCTGCTCTTGACAGTATTGGTACTCACTCTGATGCGGTTCCGTGCCCGTTTAGCAGGCCAGACTTGCACTGTATCATCAGAGTCATGTTGATCCAGACCTTGGGGTAAGTTCTTTGCAATCTGAAGAGCTTGAAGATGATTTGACATGAAGCCCTTCTTCATATGTTCCATTTCAGCCCAAGGTGTGACTAGCGACCCACAGCAGTTGCAAATTACGAGTCCAGCAGCAGGTTGGGTCAATGTTGACATTGCATGCATATGTGTCAAATAAAAGAATGGTATATGGTAAATGCTGTTATGGTGTGAACTCAGTGGCTCATGAACTCGATGTAGCTGGGCTCTAGAGGGTGCAAGAATGTGCTGGCAAGTTGTGCTGGGTCAGCAAGTCACTTTGATGGCACCCAGCGCTCATAATTGCTATGTCAATATAACCCATATTGCATGTTTCATTTTTTTATCACTGCCATCATCTAACCTTTATTAACCAATATTGACATTTCTTTAAGTAGTAGTACTACTAGTATATTATGTATGCAGGGCCCTTGGTTTTCCATCTCACAACATCGATGTGTACTGTTTCGGATCCCTCTGCTTGACATCACAATGCATGCACACTGCAAGCTCAAGCTGAGTTTTTTTTTTTTTTGGTTTTATCTGTGATGATAAAAGAGTACAAGGCCATCTAACATCCTTAGCTCTCATATATTCATTGCCCTCTGCCTGCATGCATTTGATGTGCATGAGCTCAAGCTAGTGCTGAGTTTTTTTGTTTGTTTATCTGTTTCCAACACGTTTCATGATCACTACTAACTTTGTTCTGCTTCCGGAAGGACTAGTGATGATAAAAAGCCTGAGGCCACCACACTCCCTCTGCTGGCTGTGTAAAATTACCCTTCTCCGTATCCCAACCTTCCCCCTCTGCTGTTACCTGCACACATTTGCCCATCTGCACACCAATGGCCACATCCTGCCCCAAACCTCGCAAATCCATGCCCCAAACCCAGAGGATGACATCGACAGCATCAAAGGATAAGTTGATTGCAGAATTACAAGGTTTGCCTTGGATCTTTTGTATATTCTTAGGATTATCCACATGCACAGTGTTTGCAGCTCAACTACAAGAGGTAGAGTCAGCAGCAGCAGCAGCAGCAGCCAAAGCTGAAGCTGCCAAAGCTGCACAACAAGTGCTTGAATTGAGACTGAAAGCCTCTAGTGCTGCTAGCAGTAATGATGGAGCTCCCCCAGATGGAAGTGTCACCTGCCCTTCACCACCTTGCTCTCTCATCCAGGATATGGGCTTGATGGATGACTGCAATCAATATAAATGGATTTTGGTATGTACTATACATGCTGTAACACTTCAGTCTGCCTGGTGATTTACACATGATTTAGCATCTAGTTCGAGCATTCATGAACCACGTTGACTTGCCACGAACAGCAATGTTCAGGAATGCTGACCCAGTCAAGTTAGCCCATATTTACACAATTGTAAGTCATATTTTTGTATAGTTCACTTCTACTCATATCATTTGGCTTAGACACAAGAGCGCATACCCTTCATGTGTCGCTTTGTTGCAGACTGGGCCACAAGAGAAATTGTCAAGCAAGCACTCAAGAACTTCTGCTCATATGATGTCACAGTAGCAGGGGCTGAATTGGAAGACAATGAGGAGCAGCCGGCAGCTGAAGAAGAGGAACAGGAGACTAGTGATTCAGAAGGCAGTAATTTGGGTGAGGGTGAGAACATCAATGGAGAGTCAAACAATGCCAAGTCGGGTGAGGAGTCAGGTGGAGAATCAGATGCTGACTCTTGACTCGTACATACACACATGTGCATACTACCTTAATACAGAATAATTTTTGTGCTTTGATATTCAGGATAAATATGACTGGATTTGATGCGGAATAATCAGACCATTTTGCACTTATAATTCAGAGTCAAATCATCTGAGTTTTTCAGGATTAATATGGCTGAATTTCCACCAAGCAGGTAGCCCTGAGTGTTCGACTGAAAATGACGTTTTTGGTGCTGAAATCTTCAGCTGTTTATTTCAACCTCTTGCCATCTGTATTTCAATGGTGTATACTGAAAAGCAGTATCTATCACACTGAATTCCAATCTCTTATCATCTGAAGGAAGTGCTGAAATTCAGTTCATCGACGTTCTACAGAGAGGGTTATGGCAGTTCCAGAGCTGGGGTCGGACAAGATGACAGCAGACCACTAAGGTATATTTTCAGAGTAAATAATTGTAAATCCATGATTTCATGCTTGATCTCCAACAGTTTCATTATGGAAGCAACTGCAACTTGGTCAGAGTTGACGATTTTTGGGGGGACTCCAAGTAATACAAAGAAAGTACATTCACAGATTATCATGTGCAAGGTCAAATGATTGAATATATTAATACCTTTGGGCTGACATTGGCACTCCTTTGAGAGGATCCTTGATGCCATTCAATGCCTATGTAACACTTTCAAGACCACAAGGTCAAGAGAGGATATGCTTAGTGTGCAACTTCAAGAATAGTCTTTTCACAATGACTGTCATATCCATACAATCCTGACCTCCACTCTGGGCTCCTGGAACTCCGGAACTGACTCCGGAGCCCCATTTCCCTTTCATCACCCTCTCCCTTGCTGATGTAACCAGGCTCAAGGAGCACTTGGGTCTGACAAGAACATGGGGGACTAGCACTGGGATAGGGTTGGTCATGGGGGGTGGCAATGTGCCATAGTCCTGGTGCTGCTGACAATCAACAAAAATCTCTAAAAACAAACACCCACTCCTGGTCACTCTGGACAATCATCAGGAGTCCTAGGCTGCTCTCTGGACATGCTCTGGCATGGCTGATCCTCTAGACAAAGGGACACTGCAAATTGGGAGGCCCCTTCTGAGGGGGGAGGTTCTCTGTATCATACAAGGAAAGACTGTGGACTATAAGTGAAAATCCATGCACCCAGGAATGAATAATCCATGGGGCCACAGAATAGAAAAGAGAGTAATGGAAATAATCTGACATCAAAAGCAATATAGGTAATATAAAATGAATGAAATGCATATAACCAAACCCAAACTGCTTGTCATAAACGTTCCTGGGGATGGATCCGATTGCTACCCAGGTGGTGCTTTCTGGTGGAGCTTGGTTGTGAGGGCCCTGGCCCATGTCTATATTCCACCCACAACATCAATTGATGTTGTGTTGTCTGATATCTATGTTGTGATGCTAATTTAGTGTTGCAGAAGCTTCTCTATTTATTTGTGCTGAGAATGTATTCAAATGTATGTATATAAACCCTCAGGGTAGCTGTAAAAGGTGGACCAGCCTTTACTTCTACCCCATCAATATACAGCACCTAAAAGCATATACTTAGACAGACCAACTGAGGCCTGAGGCAAACAGGGGAACGGAACGTACTGTCCCCAAACAAGTAAGACACCCTACACTTTTTATGCTCTATTTCCTTTCCATTCTCAGCACCACATTACCGGTGCTGAAACTCCATTTGGCAACGTGCACATTGTCAGCCCCTGACAACACACGACTTCGGTCAAGTTCTCATGCGAACTTGTTGAATGACACATCCTCATGATGTCGAGATACAACACCAGGAGCACTTCTAATGCTCCCACCAACATGGCCAGTCCCTCCACTGGCTGTAGGGCAGAAGACAACACCACTTCAGTTGATAGTGGTGTGTTGGAGGAACTGTGTGCTATGGGAGGCCGGACGAGTTTTCGTACAGCCACATTCCCACATCCGAGTGAGGAACTTGCCCAGACAGCCACATTCCCGTGGTAGTGTGACTACTTAGTCACAACACCTCCTTTATATTAATTTGGACTAACCCGTGCCAGGCCACGGATATATTCATTCATTTGAATTCATTTCCTTTTCCCTCAGTTCTTCATGCATATTAGCTGAGACTGAGGTTAGTTACATTCCTTTATTACTATTTCCTTTACTATTGTAACTTACAATATGTACATTACCTTTAGCTTCCCGCTTATAGGTAATATATTAGTTCTTCACGCATATTAGCTGAGACTGAGCTTCCCACTTATAGTCCAGCTCCGAGATCACAAGTGTCGCTCATCAACATGGTGATCTGGACCTGCAAAGGCCCAGCAACGTGTCTCAGACATGTTGGATCTATCTAAGAGATGTTGACCAAGTTACAATGTCTGAAGCCTTCATAGCTGAGACTCTTGCAGCATATGTCCCAAGGTGCACGTTGCTGTCAGGAACGTGTCAGACGCGTATCCAGGTGACCCACAAGGCATGCGAAGTTGTCCAGGCTCGTAAGGTGGAGGGGCGGGACTTTGGCTTCAGCAACTCAGGTGGAGTGCTGCGCTTTGTTCTTACATTGGTGTCCCAATTTCAGACAGAAGCCTTATGATGAGGAGAGGAGTCTAGAGGGGGAATCCAAGTCGATATATGAACTGAGGTACATCCGGTGTAACCTACATGTGTTATAAACACAAGTAACTAAATAAGACCGGCCCGGAAGGAGTGGCAGATCAAGCGCAAATTAATGAATGAAGAAAAAGACAAATAGTTAATATTGGCAAACTTGGTCAACAAAAGGCAAGCAAGGAACAAAAGGAGGAACAATAGTCCGCAAGCAGACAAAAGAGAAAAGGCCATCCAGCTGTCTAGCAAGCCGTCTGGCTGGCGGGCAGACAACAACGAAGTGGGCAACCTAGGTTGGAAGGTACGCATGTGGGGGAGGAAGTGCAGATGAGGGTGACAGGTGGTCGGATGGATGGATGGATGATGATGATAGCGGGCAGGACAGGCCAAGTGGCACTAGGACGCATTGATGGAAGTGACAGGTATGTCGGGTTGTGACAGTATCCCCTTCTTAGGGCTGACACCCCTGGAGGCCCAATTGGTGCACATGGGAATCGTTCAGCCAATTCCGAATTTTGAATCCATGTGTGAAATCAAACATTCTCTCCATCAATTTGACTAAGTCCAGTAATTACTCAACAATTCTACTCAATACCCCACCTTTCATGTCCAAACAACTTGACCTCCTCAACATTGCATCCTGGGAGGAAGGGGGTATCCAAGAGGTGACAGATGGTGAGCCTGCCATGATGCAGGCGAAGCTGAATGAGCGGGTGAGGCATAAGGTGGCCAAGAAAGCGGCTGAGGCAGCTAGGCAGGCGGCTGGAGAAAAGAAAAGGCATGAGGAAGAGGAAGCCAGGGAGTGGGAGGCAGAGGCGAAGCGCCAGCAGGCGCGGGCAGCTGGGTCGTCCAAAGGCAAGGTGAGTAGCCAGCATCTTTAAACACTTACTGCCACGCAATCTCTGAGGCTAACACAAGTATTTTTTTTTTTTAGCGCAAGGCCTCAGTCAACCCTCCACAGGCCGCAAGGGAAAAGCCTGTGGTCGTTGTATCAAGTCCCAGCTGGTCTGCGAGTGGGGCAGGTACCAGGTGTGCACGAACTGCATGCGCGCCAGGGCCAAATGCGACCTCTGGTTACGATTCGGGTGGGGACTGCAACGCCCTCATAGCAGAGAAACTGCAGGTGATCTCACCCAAGGCACCAGCACAAGCGTCTGAGGATGAGGGAGAGGATACAGAGGATGAGGAGGATGATTGGGACGAGGATGGGGGTGATGTGGAGAAGTGGGGTGAGGCGATTGTTGACGCCCTCAGGGAGCTGACCGACGCTGTGAAGCAGTTGGCCAGCGAGGTCACCAAGAATACGCAGGAGGAGAGGTCGAGGAAGAAGAAGGAGAAGTCAGACGGTGGGGGAGTGGGTGACCCGCCCACGTATACTTCCCATGGTGTGGGCACGTCACCCTGAAATCTCATCATTTTTTTAAATTTTTTGTATATACCTCCATTTGTGCCATACCCTAGTCAAACATGGCCAGTTGACGTGTGACCACTCTAAGAAAAGTGAGGGCCTGGCTTGTCAGGATACAGCACATGGAAGTCAGAAACCAAGTCAGAGGCATGGCCAAGCTCTGTGGCCGGCAACCAAGAAGTCTCCTCATCCATCCCATCATACCTGAGCCAACGTACCAGGTACAGTAACTTACAGTTACAACCCTACGATCCAACTTTGAATCTAGTATTTCAGCAATCTCATACTCAGGTTCACTGTCAATCTCAATGGGCAGAGGCAGAGGTTGTATGCGGTTGGGGATGGTGTTGGGGACAGCCGGTTCGAGTTGGGACACATGAAAGACCGGGTGCACGGCTCTCATAGTCTCAGGAAGGCAGATGGTGTGGGAGTGAGTTCCTGGTGCAGCGATGATCTCAAAGGGCCCGAGATTCTTCTCTGAGAGTTTCTTCGAGGGTTGGGTGGATCTAAAATACTTAGCCTTAACAAAGACCATAGTACCAACCTCAAAGTCGGGTGCGGGTGAACGTCTAGCGTCCGCAGGGCCCTGATATTGTCGTTGCGCTGAGGACATTTCCTCACGTAGGAAGTGATGTAAAGAATCGAGATCAACTGAGTACTCTTGAGCATGTACTGAAGTCAAGTCTCATTCCGGATGGATGGAGAGGGTCGGATGGTATCCCTTGTTGGCAAAGAACAGGGAGACACCAGTAGTAGCATTGGGGGCATTGTTGTATGTGAACTCAGCCAGGGGAAATAACTCAGCCCAATTGTCCTGCTGGTAGTTGCAATACACCTGAAGATACTGTTCTAACGTCTGGTTCATCTGCTCGGTCTGACCATCCCCTTCTGGGTGATAACCCAACATGAAGTGAAGGCGGATGTCAAGAGCCTTACCTAGAGAGCAGAAGAAATGTGATACGAACTCGGGTCCTCGATCTGAAGTGATGTGA